AAATGAAGAAAAACTGTAAGATAATTGCTTAACACTTTAAGTATTAAAATATCTAAAGTGATGTCACCCAGTCGGAATCATATTTTTAAAGTGAAACTTCTCCCAGCGATGTGGCTTCTTGGCTCAGGCGTTTTAACCACTTGCCCTCCGTTCCCATCGTGTAGCCATATCAGTCATTTCATCCACCTTTTTGCTCCTCCTGTCATGGACTCTAAGTAGGAAGTGCTCCAGCAACACTCTCTTAAACGCTTTGTTTGCTTTTGGGTTGCATATCAGCAGCTACAAGTATCACCTCCTCTTCCTCACTGTTAGGTACTCCATCATCATCTGAAACGGACTCGTGGCTCTCAGATAAGCCTGCGCTTGTCTCACTGTTGTTATCTAGAGAAAGTAAATACATGGTGTCAGTCTATCAATCATATTGTGATATGACACGTTTGTATATTTCCTTAACCTGCTGTACTTTGTTAAATTCCATCAGAGACTCGGAGCGTATAGGAGGAGGTTATATTGTGGTGGATCCAGTTCTCCGTGTCGGGGCCGACGACCATACTTTGCCGTTAGACTGCATCACCATCCAGACCTACCTGTCCAAATGTCTGGGACACTTGGACGACTGGCCAGATAGACTTAGAGTGGCCAAGGAGTCGGGTAGGTTAGCACGGCACGCCCACACAGACTCTGGTTCTTTCTTTTGTGTTCAAACATAAAATGCAAACTCAGTCACTTCTGGTTGTTATTGACGACCATGGTTCCTGTCATCGGCCTAAACTCTCTGAATCAATCCTCCTGTGTGTGCAGGTACTACATCACATGGACAGTGCAGTGTGTGAGGGGATTCATCACATGTCAGGACTATCAAACAAAATGCCGTATAGAAGGATTAATAGTACGTCTGTGGGTTTGTCTTCCAGGATACAACATGATCCACTTCACTCCAGTGCAGACTCTGGGGGAGTCCAGGTCCTGCTACTCCTTAGCTGACCAGCTGAGCGTCAACCCAGAGTTCAGCCCAGCGGGTCGCAGCTACGACTGGACAGATGTGGGGGGGCTGGTGGAGAAGCTAAAGACAGAGTGGGACATGCTGTGCATCACAGATGTGGTGTATAACCATACTGGTGAGTTGAGCCATGAGGAGGGCCGTTCATTAGTGTACTGCAACACCGCTTCCTTCCCCTCGAAGGTCAAAGGCCACCTCCTGCATCTGATGTGAGACGGCTGCTGTTCACTGCTGTCTTTAGATTCTGACATCTCCCCTCTAAGCGCTCTACCCTGTGCTTTGCAATCAGACGTACCAAATATTGTTTTGACTGCAGCGACGCGACATCCTTCAGAAATTTCATGGTTGGCTCGTACCAACCACTAACCAAGTTAAACGCTTCAAGTTACCCACAGCAGCCAACTTAACTAGGCACACCAACAGCAGAACATGTTACTGAAGAGTGCTAATTGGTTAACAAAGAGCAAAAATGCAACTGTTTTCTTGCCTTAAAGGATAGCAGGGGAAGTGAATCACAAGGCTTCCTGAGCCAGTCCATGGAGCCGATCACTGACTGAACATCCAGTGCATCACTTTTCATAATGCATGGACTCGATTATGGACTAAGGATGGAGAAGTCGACATGTGTGCACTCAGCGTACATGCAACACGTTCTTTTATTGTGATCTTTGTTTACAGCTCATGGTTTGTTATGCTGCACACACTCACTTTTATTTGGCCTGAACATTTATGCAATCACATGTCTTTGTTCCACCGCGTGTTATAGTACGAGAGGTTTTACAACAACACATGCTTTCACCGAGAGTCTGCACATTTCCACAGGATTGAAAGTGTCATTAAACTGTCCCAAAGGCAGGACTTTCAGACAGATCGTTACCCTTATCCTGTGAAGTTCGACAGAACAGGAAAGATTGTTGTTGACTCACAATCATAAAGGGAAGTAAAGAGAAGCCGTTTGGTTTTGTTACCTTTGAAGCACAGCAGGTGAACACTGTGCTGTGGGGAGGACTGGAAACATTTGCTTTCTTATAGTGGGCTCAGTACGGCCTCTGTGGAAGTGTAGCCTCACAGGTTTCTTCCCTGACCTCAAGCACACACTATAACCACGAGGTGCAAGGCAGGAATATGCATCTGACTGGTTGGCAGATGGTTTCTGCCAGTCGCTGGCTGCTGCTGGATGAAACTGTTTGCAAAGAGGTTGCTGCACCAAAGTCCTTGTGATCATTTTGGTCATCTGTAGTTTGCACAGAAGATTATTTAAGACCTTGTATGTGAGGAGCAGGATTTTGAATTCTGGATTTAACAGGGAGCCAATGAAGGGAAGCCAATACAGGAGAAATCTTCACGCCACAGTGTCCAACATGGCAGTTAACTCGATACACTAAGCTTTAAAAGTGCCATTTTTGCCACACTTTGTCAGGGTTAAGGTTTGCTCACGCTCCCGTACTCTTGCTGTAGCCTTGTCTAAGGCTTTCACTTGAAATCTATTTAGAATCAGGTCAAGATTTAAAGACCACTAAAAAGTTAGCTGGGTATGGTTTAGGTTGTTGGTAAAACATCTTATAGCAAAACTGGTTAACAGTTACTCTGAAAGTGTTTTTTCAGGTCGAGACTTTTCATTTGACATGCTCGTTGTATCAAAGTGTTTGTGCTGTCCTGCTGGCAGTGACCACCCGTGGATCCCTCTCATCCTCGCTCAGGAAAGGTCGAGCAGTAAAATGAGCCTGATATGAAGGTTAAATACAGACTGAACTCTGATTTATACAGTATGTGTGACTCACTGTCAGACTATTATTAGATCTGTAAAAAGAGTAAAACATTGATGAATAAAGTATTTAAACAGCTCAATGGTTTCTTGTCTGTGTTCCTGCACAGCTGCTAACAGCATGTGGATAAGGGAGCATCCAGAATGTGGATACAACCTGGTGAACTCTCCTCACCTGCGCCCAGCCTGGGTTTTAGACAGAGCTCTGTGGCATTTAACCACCAGAGTAGCAGAGGGACGCTACAAAGCTAAAGGACTTCCTGCTGACATTACCACGGAGAGTCATCTGAATGTGAGTTCTGGGTTCCTGCACATTCATTCACCTTTGAACTTTCACAAATGTCACAGGCTGTGGTGTGAGCCAATGACAGCCTTGCCTGAGAGCATGAATTGAAATCTTATCCACAGCCTCATCACCAAAGGCAGCTAGCTTTTTTTTAAATGTTTCTTTAAGTTGCTTAGTAGTATCAGGGCGATCGTGGCTCAAGAGTTGGGAGTTCGTCTTGTAATCGGAAGGTTGCCGGTTTGAGCCCCGGCTTGGACAGTCTCGGTCCTTGTGTCCTTGGGCAAGACATTTCACCCGTTGCCTACTGGTGGTGGTCAGAGGGCCCGGTGGCGCCAGTGTCCGGCAGCCTCGCCTCTGTCAGTGCGCCCCAGGGTAGCTGTGGCTACAATGTAGCTGCCATCACCAGTGTGTGAATGTGTGTGGATGACTGGATGTGTAAAGCGCTTTGGGGTCCTTAGGGACTAGTAAAGCGCTATATAAATACAGGCCATTTACCTTTTTTTTTTTTTTTTTACTGAGTAACTTATGAGGGATTTCGATCAAAGCTAAGGGGCGTTTTCCTGGCCTGCTGTAAAACAGCAGAACATATCTTGTGTGACATTTCTAGACACAATTTCAATTAAATTTTTGTTAAACTTTTACATGTCAATTAAAAAAATAACCTGTTTTTACAGAGACATAAACTATTGCACCTGACGGTCTGCACTGCTGAGTAACGCCTGTGCAGAATACTCAGTTTCTATATTTAGATTTTATTTTATAGTAAAGATAATCATTTTGTCATTTATTTATATACATTTGCACATTGCCCCTTATTTTTTTTACTCTTACACCCGACAGTTAAGACAACCAAAACCGAGCACCAAGCCGCGTTTACCTTGCAAGCTGTAATTTGGTGCATAAATCTTTGCTCCAAGTTTGGTGTTTCTTTGTTTGGAGTCTGGCTTTGTGTTAGAGTTGGTAGGTGAGTGTTGGCAAGAGTCGGCTCATTAAACTAAACTAATGCTCTTCCTATGTTAACTGTGGCTGTGCCCACAAATGAGCCACTGTGGACCAGGTCAGTGTCAGTGGATAAAACTGACTTTAGTCACGCTAAATTTAGCACACTAGTTTGAAGTGTGTGTGTGTGTGTTACTACTTCAGTGGCTCACAGAAGTGCTGACCTAAAGGAGGGTTTGTAGAATTCCTCAGAATAAACCAGGTAATAATGAACCTCATGTCTATGCAGATGAACTGAGCTGGGTCAGTTCATCAGATGGTTAAAGACACTTTCTCTCAGCAGCATCGTACACGCTTTAAAGACACGTTTGTGTAACATGTGTTTGATTTGTTGTATTTCAGGCCGTCCGTAGTGTGATGTGGCAGGACGTGTTCCCTCAGATCAAACTGTGGGAGTTCTACCAAGTCAAAGTGGACAGTGCTGTGGAGGAGTTTAGGACCCTGCTGCAAAACGGTGTGTAAATCCACACAGACGTCCCAAAGCCAAGTGTCGTTATGTGAGCTTCAAAAACTCATCAGCATGTTTTCAGTTTGAAGCCCCAAAAAAGAACTTGTGTTTACAGTGTGTGCAAAGATGAGCAGAGGGTTAAACCACATTCACTGTGTCGTTAACATGTGTGTGCCTGCCATCAGGTACCAAGCCAGACCACAGCAAGACTGGAGGGCAGACGGGCCTCAGGATCATTCAGGATCCACAATACCGTCGCTATGGCAACACAGCAGACATGGACTCTGCTTTGGAGACGTTTGTGCCTCACAGGTGAGACTCGGGGTCCACGGCACGAGTATGATGTTGGGCTGCTGCTCAGCTGTAGTCGGTCAACTTGCTGCGATTGAGTTTCTTTGTTCTTTTCAGATCGTCAAACACGTTTTTAATCCTGGACAAAGATGAGCTGAGTAAATGTGCTGTTTTCACCCGACAGTCGTAAAAGACTGTTGGCATTTATAAAAGTATTTTTAAATTAAGATTACATTTATTAAGGGGAAATGAAGCTGTCCAAGCCCATCCCGCCATGTGTGGAACGAACGAATGAACTGATTAACGAGCCACGCCTGTTCAATCAGGACGTAACTTTAATGTCTGTCTGACAAAGTGAGCTCAACAATCACATCGGACCAGGTCTTTTTGCCTCATCATTCAGAAACAGCGTTTTGTATTTAAATGGGTTATTTTTGTCTAATATTAAAGAAAAACGTGACAAATATTGCTCAAATGTAAGAACTCTGCTTTCACAGCACTGTAAGTATGCAGTTGACAGTTGGCTCGAAGATGTTACGCAGCCATCACATTAGAGCTGCAACAGGAAGTTTTAAACATGCAATGTGGACAGAGTCGGGTGACATCACCACCCGATTAGACCAATGTGTAACCTTATCCTGCACAGGTGTGGACCTGTGTGGGGATAAAAGCAGCAGCCTCCTGTCCTTGCGTGTTAGCATTAACCACATTCAGCAAGCTAATCTGACACACCCTGTGTGGGTACAGCTTACCCTGCATGTCAGACCCATGGACCCCTGTGGTTGGCTGACGATCATCCAGAGTGTGTGAAAGGATTTGTTCTTAAATATGATGGTTCTGTTTGGTTTCCAGTCCAAAATAAGTCATTCAGGTGACGCCACACAGTCCCTTTGACTTAGTGTGAACGTTAGTTCAGTATTAAATGAATCAGGACCTCTGTTGTGAAAAGAAGACTGATGTTTGCATCTGTAGGGAGCACATCCCTGTTCCTCCATGCTCATCACTCAGCACAGCGTGGTTGAAAAAAATAAGCCCACAAACATTTAAAAACTACATTGTTATGTTTCTTCATTGTTCAGATATGAGTTACCTCTGTGACGCTGACATGGACCAGTGTAGTTAATGTAAAGTGTGTATATCTGTGTGTGCAGCACACAGCAGTGTGATGTAATGTTGCTTCCCTCTGTAGCTTGTCACCTCAACACATCGAGGAGTGCTGCGGTTGGCTCAATCAGAAACTGACTGACCTGAATGCAGAGCAGTATCACATAGTGCACCAGCATCAGGAGCAGGTAAGGCTGCCACTGTACAGGGCCACACCTGACATGTTAGCTAGAGGGGAAAAGCATCGAAAGCTGTTAAACCTGTGAATTAACATCCGTCTGTCAGTCAGCATCGGGCCAATGCAGCCCCAGGTTTAGAGCAAAACGACTGATAACAGCTACGCCTGAGACGATGCTGTCACTTTAACTTGGAGCCAGAGTCTGAGGACACGCTGTGAAGAGCAAAGAGGCGGAGCTGTGACCAGTAATCACCATTAAAAGCTTCACATGAAAAAGCTGGTAGTAGTCCTTCAAAGCACCTGTTCAACAGAAGTGTAAAGCTGCTCCAGCCACCGCTGTTTGCAGAAGTTACGTTTAACTGATACAGACAGGCAGCATGCTGAACGCTGACGGCAGGACACAGGACCCTGCTGCAAACAGGGGCGGAGCTAAAGGGGGCCGTGGGGTGTACCGCACGAGCTCAGGGGTTTCCTAACATTTCGTTAGTGAAATGAAATAAAATGTTAGATTGATAAAATTATGAATGAACATGGCTCAGCGTGGAGGCAAAGTTCATGCTATCCTGATGTTTGTGGCTGTTTACAAGAAACGTCGCTTTCATTTGAATGTCAAAGCAGGAAGCTGCAGGTGATTCAGGTCAAACCACTGCAGCACAGCACCTCTAACACTAACAGCGCTGTAATAACGTATGGACCACTGCACTGAGGTCCACGGTCAGAGGCTGTAAGGTCTTCATAACCTTCAGCCTCCTGTACAGTGATGAGCTCTGAAACCTGACTGCAACTCCAGATTATCAAACAGCTAACAGATCAATGGTTAACTGCTCTGTAAGATGAACTGTTACCATCTCTGGGCTCCTGTGTGGACTGTTTCTATACATGGTCATTTTCAGCAAACACCTTCTCTGTGACATGTAAAATCTTTAACGTGTGTGCGGGTACTTTGTTTTCGAACAAGTGTCTGATTTGTCTTTTGCTCTGTCATAACCTTCTTCTTTGTCCCTCTAGGCTGTCAACTGTCTTATTGGAAACATCGTCTATGAACGACTTGCTGAGCACGGTCCCAGGCTGGGCCCTGTTACCAGGACAAACCCAATGGTCACCAGGTAACCAGTTTAAAGAGCTGACTAATGAGAGGAAGACAGAGTACAGTGAAGTGTGTTAATAACTCAGGACATTTACTAAAGCTTTAACAAAGACACGAGGCAGGTTAGCTGAACACTTCATAATGCTAAGATATTATCATGGCCCATACTATAAGTACGTATTAGGGGTGGCGCTGGCTCAGAAGTCAGTGAGCTGTATACCAATTAGAAGGTGGTTCTCCAACCTGTGTGTCAAACTCAGGGCAAGATGCTGAACCCCGAGTTGTTCCACATACATCAAAGTATGTGAGCATTAAGATAAAAGTATTCAGGCTTATTTCAATAAAGCACTTGGATGAATGTGTGCTGACAGGTAAATGAGGCTCAAACTACATAGAAAGCTTTATATCCAGTAGCAGTCAGTTGGATTCATGTTTTCTTTGAAAAGCGTGGATGTTGGTGACAAACTCATTGATCCTCACTGAATAGGATCCATCAAATGATCCGTTGTCTAACATGAAGTGCTTTGACACAAAGTGTCCACAGCTGCACTACGTTCACATCACCCGGGCAGCCATAATGCCATGTTCCCATCTTCCGGTCAGGTATTTCACCTTCCCCTATCAGGACATGACTCTGGACCAGGAAATGCAGCTGCTGGACCAGCCAGACAAGATGTGCCATTTCCTGGCCCACAACGGTTGGGTGATGGGCGACGATCCACTCAGGAACTTTGCTGAACCAGGTAAACAGGATGAGCCACACAAGTGGTTAAAAAAAGACTAAATGTTGAATATGATGCTGCTTTAACCTGTCAGTGACTGTTGTTGCTGCGACCTGGGAGTAATAAAGTGACCGTATCAGTACTGAAGTGCTTCTGCTCCATAAAGGCTCCAACGTGTACATTCGTCGGGAGCTGATCGCCTGGGGTGACAGTGTCAAACTACGATACGGCAACACGCCTGACGACTGTCCCTACCTGTGGGATCACATGAAGAAATACACGCAAATCACAGCCAAGTATTTCCACGGAGTCCGCCTGGACAACTGCCATTCCACACCTTTACATGTTGCTGAGGTATCGCCACACCTCACTGTACATCACACACTTCATGTCAATTATTCTACGTTTAAATCGAGGACACGTAACACTTTAGCTCCATGTTGCAGTAAAGTTGTTCTGCAGGCTTACATGTTAGAAATATGTTTGATGTCTCACTGGGGCCGAACGTCACTGTTGAACTGTTCTACAGACATGTCGAGTACACACGACATGTTTGTGTTAGTCTCAAAGCATGAAAGAGTTTATTTAAATCACTGATGTGCCACAGTTTGAATAGACAGACATCTGTGATAACAGCAGAGAGGTCGCTGTGTGGCCCTGTGCTGACCCCGCCCTGTGGGAGGGGTCTGAATTTTTGGGGCTTTGTTACAGTATGCAGCCACCATATAAATAACCCAGGCAAATTATTATTGGATGTCCTGGCTGTCTTGTGTTTTGCAGAGGATGTTGGAAGGATAGCCACTTCTTAGCATGTTAAATGTATTTCCAGCTGTCACCGTGTCCTTCTGGAACTTGTTCAGGTTTCGGCTCTGTTTGAGAGCTGGCTTGTTCCATCTGCAAGTGTTGAAGTAATACTTTGATGTGGCCTCAGTGAGTCTAGTCCAGGTGCGAGCAAATGCTGCTGTGGCGCACCCTTCTGCTTCGACACGCATTATCAGTGAGATTCAGTGAAACGATCTCAGGACGTCTGTGCTACACTGTAACGGTCCTAACTGTAGTGACAAATATGATTAATGCTGAGTTCAAGCATGTACAAAGAGAGGACGCAGCGTCATTACAGCCATGTTGTCCCGTGTGAGCGTGTCCCTGCTAACAGCAGCTCTCTCTCTCCTTGTCCGTGATGTTTGTCGTCCAGGCCATGTTAGACGCAGCCAGAGCGGTCAGACCCAATCTGTATGTGATAGCTGAGCTCTTTACAGGCAGCGAGCTCCTTGACAATGTTTTTGTTAACCGGCTGGGAATTAGCAGTCTCATACGAGGTACAGCACTGATGTGCAAGCTAAATGTGTGACTGTCTTTCTTCTCTCCCCACTGCATTGTTCTGCATGTCTCCAAACACTCCACCTCTCCGTGTGTTCTTTGACTGCACGACTGCACCATTCTAACTGGCTGAGTCCCCTTCACTTTCATTCTCCTCCTCTTCCTCCTTCAATCTTTCTTTCATGCATGCCCCCCCGCACTGGTTTGTCATGCTGTGGTTTGTTAGTTCATGCTGGATGTGGCCAGAACGGTGCGTCCTGACCTGTATGTGGTGGCTGAGCTGTTCACCGGCAGCGAGGAGCTGGATAATGTCTTTGTTACCAAGCTAGGGATTACATCACTCATACGAGGTAAAGTACCGTGTCTATAACACACCTACAAATACAGCATGTTCGTTAACTGCTGACTTCATTCATGTTTAAATATTTGTATCAATTCCACATATTCAGAACAGCCTCAAGTCAGCTTGAATAAATCCATGTAAACACATTCAGACTCCTGAAACTGCTGAGAGCTCAGCTGTTCCAGGAGTCCCGCTCTCATCACTGGTGATGAGCTGGGATTGTGCACAAAGTGTGTAGCCTGTGATGAAGTCAGAGCGTGTTGTGTAGATGATCCGAAATGAATTCTGAGCACTTCTGGACATCCCAGCATCGAAGGGGAGATCAGCCACATTTCAGTCGTGCTGAACTCTGCTTGTTGTGGCGCTGTTCCTGGAGCATGCCCAAAGCTTAAAGTAAAAACCAAAAATGTAAACTCAGGAATTATAACTACCGGTAGATTTTTTTTGGCATTCAGGGACATCTTTCAGTACTTGTAGTTGTGGTACTAAAAACAACTTGTATAGGAAGTAGCTTTAATATGTAGTGAGGTCCAAACCCCACTGCACCAAACCCCGTCACAGAGCTGCACCTGTTGGAGGTCACAGTAATAACTGTGTCCTGGTTTGCTTCCTTCCTGGTTCCATATTTTTTGCACATTTCTCACACTTCATGAAACAAATGTAAATGTTAGACAAAGATAACACAGGCAAACACAAAACGCAGGTGTTTATTATTCAGGTGTGTACACTGCAGGCCTGCGTGACTCTGTGCAGGTTACCAAAGTCACGGCTTTCATGGATCTTCATCCACAGCTGTGTGACCCACTGACAAACACAACTCTGTCAAATCCTGGAATCAAACCAGATAAACTCCAACAACCCTGTGCAGTTATGATCAGGTGACCGGGTGAGGGCCTCCAGCTCGCACTGGAACGGTTCGCAGCCGAGTGTGAAGCAGCGGGAATGAGGATCAGCACCTCCAAATCTGAGGCCATGGTTCTCAGCCGGAAAAGGGTGGAGTGCCCACTCCGGGTCGGGGATGAGTTCCTGCCCCAAGTGGAGGAGTTCAAGTATCTCGGGGTCTTGTTCGCGAGTGATGGGAGAAGGGAGCCGGAGATTGACAGACGGATTGGGGCTGCAGCTGCAGTGATGCGGATGCTGCACTGGTCCATCGTGGTGAAGAGGGAGCTGAGTGTAAAAGCGAAGCTCTCAATTTACTGGTCGATCTACGTCCCTACCCTCACCTATGGCCACGAGCTGTGGGTAGTGACCGAAAGAACGAGATCGCGGATACAAGCGGCAGAAATGAGCTTCTTCCGAAGGGTGGCTGGCCTCTCCCTTAGAGATAGGGTGAGAAGTTCGGCCATCCGGGAGGGGCTCCGAGTAGAGCCGCTGCTGCTCCACATCGAAAGGAGCCAGCTGAGGTGGTTCGGGCATCTGACAAGGATGCCCCCTGGGCGCCTCCTGGGTGAGGTGTTCCAGGCATGTCCCACCGGGAGGAGGCCCCGGGGCAGACCCAGGACACGCTGGAGAGATTATATCTCTCGGCTGGCCTGGGAACGCCTTGGTATTCCCCCGGATAAGCTGGAGGAGGTGGCTGGGGAGAGGGAGGTCTGGGCCTCTTTGCTTAGGCTGCTGCCCCCGCGACCCGGCCTCGGATAAAGCGGATGAAGATGGATGGATGTTGCTGGACCGTTTGCACAGATTCAACTTTTCATCCCCATCATGGTTCTGATGTCATTTGTACTCAGTTTGGATTCACATGGAAACAAATGTAACTGAGTGTGTGAGCTCACCTGTCAGTGATGCAGCATGGCGTGTGTCCACCTGTGTCTGCGAGCGCTTACTTTGGTTTTCCCCCTTCACTCGATCATCAGAGGCGATGTCAGCTGGTGACAGCCACGAGGAAGGCCGCCTGGTGTATCGTTACGGCGGTGAGCCAGTAGGAGCTTTTGTTCAGCCCAGTCTCCGCCCACTGACGCCCTCCATTGCACACGCCATGTTTCTTGATGTAACCCATGACAACGAGTGTCCTATCCAGGTGGGTCTCTTGAGATCAGCTGACAGTGAGCTTGGAGTTGAGCTGTTGTACAATGGTTAATTGTCGGGTGTGTCGTTTACAGCTCCGCTCAGCCTTCGACGCTCTGCCCAGTTCTGCTATCGTGGCCATGGCGTGCTGCGCTACTGGCTCCACCCGTGGATACGATGAACTGGTGCCACATCAGGTTATTATATATTTATCATCTGACAGCATTTTGCTGAACACGACAGAACAAAGTCTCCAATAATGGGGCGTATTTGTAAAAATGTGCCTAACTGCTCATTAACACAAGCTCAGCCTGTCTTTGGTCCTTTGTGGAGTTTTTGTGGACACAAACGGTCTTTAGAATCTAAAACAGCAGAAGCAAACTTAACATGACAGACATACATTGTAAGTTCACTTTATAGTTTTGGATTTTTCCTTTGTTAATGCTGATGTTCCAGTGAATTTAGATTCACTGGATAAATCTGTCACATATATAATAAAATCCAAAATTTCAAGTCAACCCTCATTCCTTTATACTTCCAGTTTAAATAGTGCTAATTCACGAGGCAGTTCATCAAATAAAGAAAATAAAAGTGTTACTTTGAGGCCCTGTGAGAGGCGCTGCAATAAGAGCACACACCGACTCCATGCTTACCTGTGCACAGATCTCTGTGGTGAAGGAGGAGCGCTTCTATCCCAAGTGGAACCCGTCAGCAGTCCCATCCTCTCCTGGTGAGGTTAGCTCCTGTACCGGCATCGTAGCTGGGAAACGGGCAGTAAACAAGCTACACCAGGAGCTGGCTGCACAGGGATTCACACAGGTACACACACACAGGAAGTGCTTTCTGTGCTAAAGCCGATGCTTCGATGCTAACACCTTTTGGTACAGTTTGTCCAACTCCTCCTGTCCAGGTGTACGTGGACCAGGTGGATGCAGACATCGTTGCAGTGACTCGTCACTGTCCCAGCACCCACCAGTCTGTGGTAACCGTGAGCAGGACCGCCTTCTGGGATCCCAAAACCCACCAGTACAGCACCAGTGTCCCGCCCATGTTCATTCCTGGTAGAACAACATCATTACTGTGGATTTTGAATCTTAGTGCAGCTGTGCACACCCACCACGTTTTTTTTTTAAATTATTTTCATTGATTTATTTTTTTCAATTAGTTGGATCTGAATAATCTTATCATTGCATTTGAAAACAAGTGCGCTCCTCACTCAGATCAGGTACTGCTAGCAGACCCGGGGTGCACGTTCATGCTTTGCAGCATCTCTTTATTCACGTTGCTGTGCACACTCGGCTGCAGCGCTGCTGCTGCAAGCCACACACATCAACAACGACATGATAGGACCCCGTTCAGTCTTGTAACCCAACAGTACTAAATATGTGAAGAGATGCAGACGATAAAATCCTGGTTTAAAAACGCTGTCCTGGTCTCAGATATGGTCCCACACTGATACACCTTCGACATCTGCATCAAACCATGAAATTCTCCCTGCTTCTCATGAGAACTGGATGAGCCCAGAGTCTGTCCTGTTCAGAGACATGAGGACCATAATTACTTGATACTGACTTTTACTTATTTATTGTTTTCAGTGTATTTTGAGAACACATTTTTACATAAAGGTAGTGCATATGGTGTGTGTGTGTTACCTGCAAAGTCAGATCTGGAAAATTTGTCACAACATGTTAGGTGTGTAGTTTGGATGGATTCACAGTGCATGCTGCCACCTTTTCCCTCTCCCAGGGAAAATAGAGGAGGTGGTGCTGGAGGCAAGGATGGTGGAAAGGAGCGCCGGGAAATATAAGAAGGATGAGAACTACATCAACGGCATGCCAGAATACACAGTGGAAATGAAAGAGCACATCTCGGTGAGCGCGTCGTGTTTAACACAGGTGTGTTTCTGAGCGTTCGTGGCAGACGGACGGTGTTAAACTGGTTCTGCTGTGTGCACAGCTGGATGAGAGTACAGTGATGAAGAAAGCTGGAGTGACGTCAAAAGGGCGTTCAGAGTTTGTGCACGAGATCACCTTCCAGAAGCTGACACCCGGCAGCATCATTGCCTTCAGGTAGCACACACACAAACGTCACGCGTGATTGTGTGTTATGGTCACTTTTCAGACTTGCGTTTCTCTTTTCTCTCCTTGTCAGGGTCAGTTTGGATCCCAAAGCCCAGAAGCTGGTGGGACTGCTGAGGTACTATCTGTCCCAGTTTAGCCCAAAGTACAGGAGAGGCAGCGTAGCAGATGAAAACCCACCAGACGCACTGAAGAAGCCCCTGGCACAGTGAGCACACCACATACTCAACACAGGCGTGGGAGGTATGGATGAAATGGGACTGACAGAACGTGTCTCACTAAGATGAGATGCAACGGTGCGAGCTGCAGGGTACACTCTGAAAGGTGAAGCTAGGTATCAGACACACAGATATGCAGAGTACTTCATCCTGTTAGTAGTACAGTATTTTACACACACCTCTTACATACTCTGTACCCACACAGACCCAAAGATTGAGCGCTTTTGTCGTCATAGCTTGATGGACATAATTGGATACCAGCTGTCATGAGCTATGGTGTAAAACCAGGACTTGTCAAACAGGTGTCAGTCACATCATTAGTAGGTTGCTGTACTCTGATCATCCATCAGTTAGTAGGAACATAAAATCATCAGGGAAATGTGACGGGATAGATGAACGCTGCTGTTTATGTTCATGCTTTTAGCTTTAGGTGAGGTGCAGTCAGGAGTACTTTGAACGAGCAGCACAATGGAGACTGATGGCCTGTAGCAGCTTCTTATTGAAACTGTGTTTAACAGGCTCATGTCTAAGCTGACGCTGGCAGACATGAATGTCCTGCTGTTTTGCTGCGACACGGAGGAAAAAGAGGAAGGCGGAGGCTGTTACAGTATCCCAGGCTGGGAAACTCTCAAATACGCAGGACTTCAGGGTAACTTTATGTTCTTCAGTCCAGTCTGTACCTCATCTAGGATGGAGACCAAATGAGTGTTACTAAAGTGTTGCTGTGTTTGCAGGTCTGATGTCTGTGTTTGCTGATGTTCGTCCCAACAACGACCTGGGCCATCCTTTGTGTGCCAACCTCAGAGACGGAGACTGGCTCATAGACTTCGTCGCCAATAGGCTGATGCACAGGGAGGGGCCGCTGGCAGAGGTGAGACTGGGACTGGTTTAAGGCTCCTGTTTGTGATGACCTCTTACCACCACAGGCCACCTCACACAGGCCGGCTTCTGGGTTTGAGTTTTCTGTGTGCAGTTTTCACATTCTTCCTGTTCCTGTTGTTCCCAGTACTTCAGAGACTCTGTCGGAGGGAATCGCCACTAATGTTCATTTAGATAACGATGAAATACTGAGTGTGCTAAAGGACTGGAGCAGCTGTTTGAGAACAAACATGACAGAAAACCATGAATGGATGAAATGTATTTGAGACTTTAATCACCGAATAAAAACAAGATGAACATAAAGGAGGGTGTGTGGAAGTGAAACGACTATCTGCCATACTGTTTCTCATGAAACCCCATAAAGTCAGTACTGCAGAAGAAGAGAAGCGTGCATACAGACTCTGTAAACTGTCACTGGTAAAAACATGACAAACTTTATACTCTCCAACAATCTAATGATATTTAGTCGGCTAACACTAAAATAAGTTAAAAGCCTAAGCTGACTAAAGCTCAATGAAATCCACATTAGCACTGGAGGAAACGTCTGCAACATGACTGACTCCTTAAATTGTGCTCCAAAAACCTGAACTCACAGGCTGCTAGCTACAAAGCGCTAATCCTACAAAGCGCTAATCCTACAAAGTGCTAATGCTACCGAGTCATTTGCTCAGGCCCGTGTGCGACCAAGCTGACTGAGACACAAGCTTAGATATTTCTGTCCCTGCCCTGGACCATAGTTGTTTGAGGCAGGTGCTGCTGAGTACTGAGCCTTCCTGCGTCTCCTCCTTATACTCGTTCTTCCTCAAACACGGCTGCTTGTTTCTGTCAGACACAAGTCTTCATCTTCTGTGTGTCTGCAGGTGGGTCGCTGGTTGGCAGCCATGTTTAATTTCCTCAAACACATGCCCCGCTACCTCATCCCCTGCTACTTTGATGCCATCCTAGTTTCCACCTACACCACAGCCCTCGATGCCACCTACAAACTCATGTCCAGGTAGGCTGTGCTGTGTCTGTCGACACAGCAGATCTCTTTGTTGTACTGAAATGTTAGTGTACAGCTCATCTTCATCTCTGTGTCCGGTTCGCTGCGGTCGAGCGATGACGTGTACCTGTCCTCCGTCTGAAAACAGCTTTGTCCAGAACGGCTCTACCTTTGTTCGTCACCTGGCGCTCGGTTCGGTTCAGATGTGCAGCGTTGGACGCTTTCCTGCTCTGCCTCCTGTTTCTGCTCAATTAGACGACGTCCCGTACCGCATCAGTCCAATCACGGGCCAGAAGGAGCAGTGCTGCGCCTCACTGGCTGCAGGTAACAGTCACACACATCTGATGCTGTGTTTCCCGATGAAATCTTGTTTTGAGTCACGTCTCTTTGTCAGGTCTTCCTCATTTCTCTGCGGGGATTTTCCGTTGCTGGGGCAGAGACACCTTCATCGCTCTCAGGGGACTGCTGCTCCTCACTGGTAGACACGTCGAGGCTCGGTGCGTGGCCCCGTGCACCTCATCTGATTCTCATGACACACGAGTGTATTAATTATATTACATTTCCTTACAAACTAAATTCCTTATCATGGTCTCCATAGCAACATCATCCTGGCCTTTGCAGGGACATTGCGCCACGGTTTGATCCCCAACCTGCTGGGGGAGGGTCGATGTGCCAGATACAACTGCAGGGACGCTGTGTGGTGGTGGCTGCAGTGCATCCAGGTGGGAGCTGCTGTGAACTTAAACTAGAAACAAGAGAGAGCAGAGTGAGGGTA